CAATATATTTTCTGTTGCTTCTGGGCACTTGTAAGTTTCTTCATTCTCAAATTCATTTTCCACGGTATTCATACTCTTGTGTGTTTGATCCGAAACATGTCTGAAGAAAGAATTGCTAATAAAAAGTACAAAAAGATTGTTTTGTCCTAGAGCGCAATAATAGGATGTTAGTTTATCTTTCTATCACTTTGCATAGGTACGCTTTCTATTTTCTGGTCACCCACTTCCGATGCTTTCATAACTTAATATCTAATATTAGCTGATTTTTTTTTTTTGGTGTAGATATGAACGCTTCCTAAAAATTATGATATTGAGTGTTTTGAAGAACACAAATCGGCCAGTAAAGTTCTGGTTTATAAAGAATTATCTCTCACCACAATTCAAGGTTTTCTTGCTCCTTGGCCCATTCTCTTTACGCTTTCAACATTATCCTTTGGAATATGAAGTTGACATTTGAAATTTGCTCAGGATGTGATTCCTCACATGGCACGGGAATATGGTTTTGAGTATGAATTAATCACCTATAAATGGCCTACATGGTTACATAAGCAAAAAGAGAAACAGAGAATTATCTGGGCGTACAAAATTCTCTTTCTTGATGTCATTTTCCCCCTTGCTCTCGAGAAGGTATTGTGATTCGTTGATGATTTTGATTTTTAAATCAATATAAAGACATGTTTTAGATTGCGTTTGTGTTTAACAGTTTATAATATCTGTATGTGCAGGTTATATTTGTCGATGCAGATCAGATTGTCAGAACGGACATGGGAGAACTGTATGACATGGATTTGAAGGGGCGACCTCTTGCATATACGCCTTTTTGTGACAACAACAAAGATATGGATGGCTATCGGTTTTGGAAACAAGTAGATTCATCTCTCCATAACCAACGGCCCTCGTATTTTTTTTCCTTTTAGATTATCTAAACCATTGCCTAATCGTCTTTCACACGTTTTCCTGCAGGGTTTCTGGAAGGACCATTTGAGGGGAAGACCATATCATATCAGGTAAAGCAACCGCCAGTATACTGAATTTGTAAGAATTTCCTACTTCTGTTCTCCTCGTAAGACTTACATGTGGCGTATATATAATCTGCAGTGCTCTATATGTTGTTGATCTGCTCAAATTCCGAGAGACTGCTGCTGGAGATAACTTGAGAGTATTCTACGAGACCCTAAGCAAGGATCCGAACAGTCTATCTAATTTGGATCAGGCAAGTTCATGTCCTCGTGTGCACTAAACAATTTTGTAGATCAGATGGTATGGTATACTATTTTAGGTTAACGGGATCCCTCTATTGCGTGCCAAGGCATTTCTACATTATTTTTGGCTTTTTCCCAAATGTTAATTGCTAACTGGAATACCGATATCTCAGGATCTTCCCAATTATGCCCAGCACACCGTACCCATCTTTTCACTCCCTCAAGAATGGCTATGGTGTGAGTCATGGTGCGGCAACACAACTAAACCTAAAGCAAAGACCATCGATCTCTGCAACAATCCCATGACAAAGGAGCCGAAGCTTCAGGTGACAACGAAGCATTCTTTCCCCTCACATCAACTTCACTCCAATCCAACCAGCTTGGTTGGCGTGAGTGACCGTGCACTCTTGTCCCTTAAAAGAGGTCGGGAGTTTGAACCCCCTCTCGTATGGAAAAACCAATCTGGCCAGCACTTTGCTCTTAATGCCGGGCCGGTGCGAACGGAGATTAGTCTGAGTACGGTACGGGCTTAAAGGTGCCTCCTACAGTTAGGGCCTGCTCAGGACACCTCGTGGTCTGACAAAAAAAGAACTTCACTCCAATCCCCCCCATGATCCCATCACTCATATTTTTCTTTCGATACCATGTAGGGTGCCAAAAGGATAGTTGCAGAGTGGCCAGAGCTCGACTTGGAAGCAAGAACCTTTACCGCAAAAATCTTAGGTGAAGATATCTCCCCTCAAGAACAACCACCAGCACCACCCGTTCAACCCCCTAAAACAGTTGACGAAGATTTGGAATCAAAGGCCGAATTGTGAAGGCCCTTTGCAAGCATTCCTCAGACCCATCAGATCATGTTGCGTTTCACGTGGGGCTGCTTCTGCAACATTAACTACACTACAAACGTAGAGATAGAACTTGACGCTTTTCTTGTGTCGTACAAAATCACGAAACCATTTTTGCTGCTGACCCCTCTGGGAATAATATCGGAGCAATTTAGCATCAAGTACTGCTAGTTCTAGGGCATTACTTGTAGGAAAGCAGTTTGGGGAGTTCCATAGAATTGCTGAGGGCTTTAGTCCACATTCAGTCAATCTGTACAATTTTGATATCTTTGAATTTTAAGGCTATCTTTCTATGTTTCATCTTCACATTTTGAAAATATAATGCAAATCAAGTATTAAGCATTGAACTAAGAAATCAAGTGTCTTCCAATATAAGCACTTAAACTCATTTTCTTTATTTGGCATTCACCCTCTCTAGTCTCTTCACTGTGGGCTGTATGAACTTCTTGTCATCTCATTTTATTTAGTTGTTTTTCCTCTGTTTTTTCCCGAAAAATAAAAAGGGCTTACAGCTTTTTGAAATGTTGTTTTGAGCTTGTTTAGCTAGTTGAAATGTCAGACTTGTGCAAGCTGTTTTGAGCTTATTGAAAAGCAAAAGCATGTAAGCTGGTCTCCTAGCTGGGCTTTAAGAGTAAGAATTTAGGGCTAGTTTAGTCAGTTCAACCGATCACTTTAAAGTTTTGTTATAATGACAATGTGGGGGTTCGAATCCCGTTGGGGGTCATTGGGAGACTTAATCGTTAGATGAGATGAAGAGTCCTTGTGCACAGAGTGTACAAGCATGTGTAAGAACTTGGGAGACTGACGGGACTTGCAATTTATCTCCTGCGGTTCTTGCGCCCGTTAGATGAGATGAAGACTCCTTATGCGTAGAGTGTACATGCATGAGTGAAAACCTAGAGACTGAGAGACGACTTGCAATTTATCTCCTTCGGCGGTTCTTGATGCATAAGTGAGAACCTGAAGACTGACGAGACGACTTGAGATTTATCTCCTTCAGTGGTTCTTAGACCCATTAGATGAGATGAAGACTCCTTGTACGCAGAGTGTACAACAACTCAACAATAGGTGAGAACCTGTTGCGGGGCCCGTTAGATGATATGAAGACTCCTTGTGCGCAGAGTGTACATGCATGAGTGAGAACCTAGAGGCTGACGAGACGACTTGCAATTTATCTCCTTCAGCGGTTCTTGGGCCCGTTAGATGAGATGAAGACTCATTGTGCGCAGAGTATACATGCATAAGTGAGAACCTCAAGACTGACGGGACGACTTGAGATTTATCTCCTTCAGTAGTTCTTAGGCCCATTAGATGAGATGAAGATCCTTGTACGCAGAGTGTACAACAACTTAGCAATAGGTGAGAACCTGAAAACTGACGGGATGACTCGGAATTTATACAAGTATATTTTGGGAATGCCACTCTCCATAAGTAACCATTTATTCTTCGGTGTTTGATTCCCCCTGCCAGTAGAATGTGATAATAACTGTTGTATCACATGACGAGAAGAGTTGAGTACGGCAAATTATGCTGTGCAAGCATGGTGCATACGGATGCAAAAACGACGTCGTTTTTATAAACGCGCGTCTTTCCCTTAAAAAAAAAAAAAATAGGTTCGAAACTATAATTCCATAATCGATGAACTATAATTCCATAATCGATGAACTATAATTCCATAATTGATGAACTATAATTCCATAATCTAATCTATGAACTAAAATTTTCAGAATGAATGAACTAAAATTCCAGAATCTATTAACTAAAATTTCAGAATCGATGAACTATAATTCCAGAATCGATGAACTATAGTTCCATAATCGATGAACTATAATTCCATAATCCATGAACTAAAATTCCATAATGAATGAACAAAATAATGTTGTTACTAGGAATCGAACCTGAATTTTTTTTTTAAAGGGGAGACGCGCGTTTTTAATAAAACGACGTCGTTTTTGCATCTGCATGGTGCATACAGATGCACAACATAACTATTCGTTGAGTACTTGGAGGTGCTGTGGGCCTTTGATAACAAGGCAGAAAAGATATTGCAGCAGGCAGCAGGTAGGGGCTACTGCTTACATATGTGAACTCATAGCTAGTTGCAGCCTCCATGAATATTGATAGTGGCAGCTAACTTGAATTGTCACCTCTCAGTCATGTCCAGGGCCATGGTTTGCATTTCTAGTAGGGAACATGTTCAAGGAACATAGTGCCACTAGTGCATTTAGGTGCATTCCATTTGTGCATGCTAGGATAGACATTGCTCACATGCAAGTTGGTTGACTTGCGACTTCTGGTCCCACAAGTCTGGTGGCACTTCACTATTAATGTACGACTATGAAAATTGCATTTTTTATTTTATTCCTACTTTCAGGCCTTCTCATAAGAAATTCGGTGAAGATTTTGTCACATGATTTGCGGTTGATTAAAGTTTATGAGAAAAAAATGTCTATTTAAAGTCAAAGTGATCGCCTCGCCAAGATGACCAAAGAAAGTAACGTTAGCTAGAAGGAGATGAGCAGTGTGTCTCAAGTGTCCAATTGCATTATCCCAATATGTTCGAGAGCCAATTTGACCCTGACGCTTATCACGATAAAATATGATGAGATTCCTCACCAAAATAATCAAAAGTGATAAAGACACCCAAAAAAAGGGAAAAAGACTACAATTAGCTTGGTGAGGTTTAGTGAGCTAAATTAAGTCCATGAATGAAGTAGTATGATTTATGAAACACAATTGCTTCCACTCTACTAATGAATAGTTATCTCTTAAATTCAAATCGTGACGTTGGCTGTTATACCGAATAAGAAAATAAAATTGCACATTCAGTATTAACTATAACTTTTGACCGTGGTAAGCATTTCATCCTACACAATGTTTGATATGGTTTTGGTTTTACTAACTTGGGTACACTAATTCCTACAAATATTTAGTACATGGGAAGACATTTTAGTTTCCACACAATCATTCAATTTTCTTCTATTTTCTAGCAAATGGAAACACCAAACACAGGTCTTAGAGTTCTTGCTTCTTAAAGCTGCACTTCCAATCCTAGATACAACTCCAATATTGCATTCCATTTCCTATGGAAATAATATTCACACTCTCAAGACTCCAGAAAGGTACAAACCTTATTTAATTCCATACCTGAAAGTTCAAACCAATTTTACACAAACCATTCCGATATCAAAACTTCACTACGAGCAGCAAATGCGAATGGGTGGGTGGGTGGGTGGGCGGGCTCAAGTCACGCGAACTTCTCCACTCTCGTGTGCTCGCTTCAGTTGCTTTTCGTATTCATCTTCTCCGTCTTCTTCGTCCTCCTCTTCATCTTCGTCTTCTTGTTCTTGTTCTTCCTCTTCCTCTTCTTCTTCTTCTTCTACGTCACCTTCTTTCTTCTCTTCCTCTCCGTCTTCCCAGCCAAAACCTCCCATGGAACGAGAAGCTGGAGGGGGAGCCTTGGCTTCGTCCACAATTTTCATGATCTCCTCCGCGCTTTGAAGGGAAAAGGTCGGGTTTTCTCTTCTGTAATAGGCTGCTTGTGCCACTTCCGTTAATTCTCTTGGCAGATTCTTCAAAAACCACGGGTGGGACTTGATCTCTTTAATGGTTATCCTCTGCAAAAGAACCATATTAAGAACAGCAACTACGAAACACACCATAGCTTCGTGTATATATAGCGATAATCATATTGCTACATGAATGCTTGTTGATAAGTATAAAGTAGTTCAATTGCAATCCTTAACCCTAGAAATTCCTTAACAACATGTTTGGTTCATGGAATAGGTCAGGAATGGAATAACATTCCTGGGAAAAGACCTATTCCATTGTTTGTTTTGACCATTTTTTTCTTGGGAATAGCATTCCTAGGAATAAGCTATTCACTTTGCAGGGGGAATAGCCATTCTTAGGGGGGGCCTGGTAGAAAGAAAAGAATCTCGATTCTGGTAGTATTGCAATATGTCAAGTTTAAAATCATTTTTGGTTGAAACTTAACTGCTTCTATGAATTATCTACCTAAAAATGAGCTAAGAATGTGCTAGATGGAATCTATTTTTATGAATACTATATGCCTTGTTCGGTTTGAAAATGCAAGAGAACTTTCTTAAAATTGATGGTGAGAAGGAGAACACACCCTTGCAGGATTAGCGACAAATATCCGAGAAAGAAGGTGCCTACAATCCTGTGAAATATGGACATAGTCGGGAATCTTGTACTGCACAGACATTATACGCTGTAGAGAAACATCAAAGCAAAAATTACGTGTGAGAAATTTTAGTAATTTAGTTAACTAACGGTTCCCAACATGTGGCATGATGCTTAAGGTATAAACTCACCTGAATAGTTTTCCTGAAGTTCTTAGGATCGTCATGGTCTTCGAAAGGGTATGCACCAACCAGCATCACATAAAGTGTCACTCCGCAAGACCATACATCTGCGGTCTGGACAAATACAAACCAAGGTTACATACAAGGTAAAATTTCAGCTGAACAAAAGAATTCCGACGGTCTACCAATTGCATGGGTAGTGTGTTCGTAGTGTCACCATTGAAAATCATTTTCTAATTATCAATGAGACCCACCACAACACACACATAAAGCAACCTCTCAACGGGTTGGTCAGGCTGTTGACTTGATAACCACAAAGTTACAAGTTCGACTCCCCAGGACCAGCCTATTGGCCTTGTGGTCCTTTGCCAGCTAGGGTCACAAGGCGGGTTTTACCCAGTGCATACCCTTAGGTAGTAGCTGCGGTTTCCCTCATCACTCAAAAAAATAAATAAATAATAAAGCAACCTCTCACCAAAATCGGAAAACACCCCCTAGAATTAACACATGTTAAGGTATGTATACACGCAAGAATTATTTACCTTGCCGTCATACTCTCTCCGAGATAGAACCTCTGGAGCAATATAAGCTGGAGTGCCAACAGTCGATTTTGGTCTTGAATGCAGCAGAGATGACTAGGTACAGGGGTAGAGAAAAATGAGCAGCCAACTCTTCTATCAAATGTTACCACGTAATATACATACCTTTGAGTAGCCAAAATCACAAATCTTCAGGCGAGGCGCCGGGCTTCCATCCAAGAGGGTATTCTCCAGCTTCAGATCTCTATGACATATTTGCTGCAGAACAATGAAAAACCTAAGTATCCTAAGCTTCCTCCAAGGAAACCGTGGCATCAACATTGCAACAAAATAAAGGATGTGTATAAACGCAGAATATATGATGTGCAACAAGTATTTGTAAATTTAACATACCAAAGAGTGACAGTAGCTGACTCCAGAAATAAGCTGCTGGAAGAAGTACCTAGCCTAAACAAAATCAAGAAGAGAAAACTCTCAATCAAAAGATTAACCCGAGAGAGGTCGGGTTCTAACCCCCTCTCGTATGGAAAAACCAATCTGGCCAGCACTTTGCCCCTTAATTGGGCCAGCCCGGTGCGAATGGGGATTAGTCTGAGTATGGTACAGGCTTAAAGGTGCCTCCTACAGTTAGGGCCTACTCAGGACATCTCATGGTCTAAGTGTCTAACCAAACAAAGATTAACCCGAAATGGAAATTGGAAAGAATAGCTGAATTTTGGTAGAATGGTCTTCCACGTGTTATCTAGGAAAAGTAACAATACCTCATCCTCACTGAATCTTCCCACATTGCAGATGCGTTCAAAGAGCTCTCCACCTGCTGCATATTCCATTACAATGGCAAGATGAGTGGGAGTCAGAACCACCTATATAACAAGGACAAACGCAAAAGTTAGGCTAGTGAAGTCCTTAACACTTTCTTCTAGCTTTCACATAACTCAAACCGTAGTTAAGCAACAATGCAACGAAAACTGAGCTAAACTTCTCACCTCCTTGAACCGAATGATGTTCGGGTGACGAAGTGATCTGTGGTTTATGATCTCCCGTGCCACATTCTCATCAATCTACAACCAACACTTACATCAACTTATGGACAAATTATTGGATACTGGATAGTGAGTAAACCCATGAACACCAGTTGTAGATGACATAGAGGCAAAACCACGGATATAACTTTACATGTATCTCTACAAATTCACATTAATGGTGCACTTTAAATAACAATAACGAGCAGCTCGTGACCATAGAATAACAGCAAAAGACAGTACATTAATCATACATTCATACATAGAGGCAATGAGTAAACCCATGAACACCAGTTGTAGATGCAAGATAGAGGCCAAACCATTGATAAAACATTACATGTATCTCTACAAATTCACATCAATGGTGCACTTTAAATAACAATAACAAGCTCACTATCACAGAACACCAGCAAAAGACAGTACATTAATCATACATAACCCCAAAAATACACAAACCTTAAGTCCTCTCTCGATGTACTTCATGGCCACAAGCTCCTTTGTCTCCTTGTTCCTCATAAGCCTGGCCACACCGAAATTACCAGACCCAATATCCTTAACAAGCTCATATTTCTCCATTTTTTCCTTCTAATTTCGCACCTTTTAGCTCAACTACAACGAACTGCAATTTAAATCTGCTAAAGTTTCAACCTTTAAGCACTACTTAAACTGGAAACAAGAATAATTTTCCACCCAGAAGCTCGAATTCGAAAAACCACAACTAAGCAAAACAGAATTTCACCAATTTATAGCTGAATCAGGGGGAATCAACAGAACATCCGGAAGTCGGCAAAGGAGAGATTTGGGTTTACAGCGGATTCCACGATCAGAAGGGAAAAGAATGGTATTTGCAGCTGCTTTCCACAGAGACTTGAGAAAAAGCAAAGGAATTTTGAAGATCACGGGTGGGTGATGGGATTGGGAGGAGTATGGGCGGTGGCAGAAAGAAAAGATTCCCGGAATTTCAGAGAAGTCTATTATTAGATGAGAACATGGAAAGAAAAACCGATGGTCTAATAAAGATAGTGAGAGAAGTGATGAGAAATGAGAATATCGTTTTGCGGCAGTAGTGGCATGACTGAGAATATATTCGAAGTGGGATTATGGATTTCTTCTTGTCGGCATCCTCAAATCGGTTACTCGCTGGGCTTCGATCAAAGATCGAAACTTGCAAAGCTTTTGATTCGAAACATGAAATGGTTTTTGTTGAGCCCAATTCAAATTTCATGGCAAATTTTATTCTGAATCATGGTCCAAAACAATGCAATCGTTATACCCTGTACCACGGTGCGAAGTCTTGTGCGTTCCGTGCCACCCAAAATGACGTTGTTTTGAGAGGCGCAAAAGGGAGTTGACGTGATTTATATGTATATGTTTATATTATTATGTGTATTTGTTCATACAATTGTGTGTATTTTTTTATACAATTATGTGTGTTTTTTTTTTGAATGATACTGGTTCTATTACATTGTAGTATCTGTTCATACAATTATGTGTGTTTGTTTATACAATTATGTGTATTTTTTTATACAGTTATGTAAAACGACGTCGTTTTGCATCAAGGCGCACAATACAATGCGCACCCTGATGCACGATATAAATTGCCAAAACAATGTCGACTGTTCAATTAATTTTATTTTATTTTTATAATAATATATTCAGTTTCATTTTATATAAATTGTAGCTTTATTATATCACACATAAAATATTATTTTGATTCAACTACAATTTTATTTGATAATATATACTCAAAATGTAAGATCTGTTATTCAGTTTCAGTTTCAGTTTCATTTTATACACACTATAATTTAATTACAATAAAACTAAAATATCATTTTAATTCAACTACAGTTTCATTTGACATGTACACTCATTATATGAGATATGTTGCTTAGTTTCATTTTAAATATATTATAATTTCATTATAGCACAACTAAAGTATCATTCTAATTTAACTATAATTTTATTTAGCAATATACACTCAATATATTAAACATGTTATTCAATTTCATTTTAAATATATTGTAAATTTGTAGTTTCATTTTATTCAGAGCACATTATAAATACAAGATTAATTAAGCCTAATGGATTAACAGTCACCTTCTATTTGGAAGGTTGTGAGTTTGAGTCTCAGTGGAAGCGCTATTGATTCTTTGTATTTCGGTAGGTTGAGAAAGTATATGAACAGATACTACATTGTAATAAAGTCAGTAACATTCAAAAAGATTAACAATCACCGTTTTTTATTCTTTTTACTTAAAAAAAAAAAACAAAAACAAAACAAAAAACCGACGACATTTTTTAGGCCATTGATCGGTTACTCGGTGGGCAAATTATGCTATGCGCACGTGCGCACGGCGCTAAAACGGCGTCGTTTTCCGTGAAAACGACGCTGTTTTAACTAAAAAAAAAAAAATTGTTCGAAACGCCGTTAACGGCGTTAACGGCATATTCGTTATGAAATTATGAATATACAGTTATGACATTATGAATGTATAGTTATGGAATTATGAACTTACAATTATGAACATAGAGCTTCGAAAATTATGAATGTTCGGTATGGAATTATGAATATACAGTATGGAATTATGAATGTACAGTTATGGAATTATGAATGTACAGTTATGGAATTATGAATGTACAGTTATGAAATTATGAACATAGAACTCTGACATTATGAACTTACAATTATAAACATAGAGCTTCGAAAATTATGAATTTACAGTTATTGAATTATGAATGTACAGTTACGAAATTATGAATGTACAGTTATAGAATTATGAATATACAGTTATGGAATTATGAATGTACAGTTATGAAATTATGAACACAAAACTGTGAATATATGCTCTTATAACGAAGCGGTCTGAAATTAAATTTAAAAAAAAAAAAAAAAAAAAAAAAAGGAAAATAACGGTGCCTGCACCGTTATCCGTGCCCATGAAGCACGCTGGGCACGAGCCCACAGCATAACTATCCCAAGCCGTGGGCTTGAATCAGAGATCGAAACTTGCAAAGCTTTTGAGTCGAAACATTCAAAATGGTTTTTGTTGAGCCCAACCCAACGTTCATTGTATAATCCATAAAGTGTTGAATTGTTGATAAGATTATTTTTAGAAAGTAAGTAAAAAATAAATAAAAAATCATTGTATATATGTAGTTTAGTACATGTGTCACTTTTACATAATTTGTTATTAATTTCTTAATTTGTCTGTAAATGTAGAAAACATTTAGGGAAGATGGTCAAAAAGTCCCTCACAAACTACTGAAAAGTCAATTAGGTGCTTAAACTTTTTAAAGTTGTAAGTGGAGTAATTCATTAACATTTTATTTTAGTGCAGTGAAACTTACAAATAAGTTATTGACATGTGATAACAGATCACAAGGGTTCCGACACCATTTTTTACAAAAAAATCAATCGCTCCCATGATGCTCTGTCGGGCCGGAGTGGGGGGCCCTTAGGGTTGGGGTTCAACCTTTTGAAAATAATGATTTATATATGCTCAAAATATAGTTTGACTTTACCAAATTTAAAACATTGTTAATTTGACATCACTTTACAATTAGCTATAATAATTTTATTTTACCAAATTTAACAATGTAATAAATTTTGGATATTATTTCAAATACTCTATAAATACTCAGTTCGGAGAGTTTTAATTCGTGCTAATTTATTTTTCTACGATGTCCTTTTACTTTTTACTAATAGCTCAACGTGTTCAATATGACTCCACTTTTTTAGTAAATTTTTTAAAATTTATTAGAGTGATGACTATGCATTCAAGAGGTTTATTTATTTGACTAGCATAGTAAAATCAACAAGTATCAACGTGAATATCATTTTACCAATAATGGTAGTTATTTATTTCTCATATGCGAATGATCTGTATCTATTTTATAATGACATGCTGGAAACCTTCAAATTGAAAAAATTGTTAGGAATTGATTAGTTTAGGGACTCAATTGTTAATTTTTTGAATTCAGTGACCTAATTATATTATCATATACAGCTCGATGGCCTATTTGACCCTTATTTCAAAAAATTATAAAGTAGAATTAAACTCATTTTATTTGGACCACATGTTAATATGTTATTGATATACATAATTTGGGAAAATATAAATTGGGGCAAGAAGAAAGTGTAAAATTACAAAATGACTACCATTTCTATATTTGGAAAAAAGCACAGAGCATTTATGAACTTCGTTTTGCCGGAAGTACGGATCTCTGTAGTCTTTATCGTGTCGTGATCCACCGAGCAAAGGCAAATCGGGTCTTCATCCTCATATATACCTCATCTGCTCTTCGCGATCTACATCTCTTGCGAACTTAGATCCAGGCCATCGGAAGTACGGCGACAGTGATGTTGCACGCCGTCGGAATACTCTCTTTCCTCGCCGCCGTCCTCGTCGTCTCGCCAGTGTTGGCTTCCGAGTCCGATCACAAGGTGAGATCCTCTTATAGCTCCTCATCTAACGGGCCTGAAAAACCCTAGTTCAGCATTAGCATGCCTGCCATTTGTTGTATGTATTTGACTAGATCTTTCAGTTGAAGGCAATATTTTTTGGGGAAAGTGGGCGGGGGAGGTGTGCCTCCGACTTTGTAAGATCGGTTGTGTTTGTTTATGTTGATTCACCGTGAGAGTATTTGCTCGCTGAGGATATAGCTGGACTCTTGTTTATCTCAATAATCTCAGACTCTCAAAGACTATCCTTTGATCGCATAGCTTATGGACTCAAGATACACTTATGGTCCCTTTTGAATGGCTTTATTTTCAGATCATTCAGGCTTAACCATGCTCTTAAACATTTTCTTTTGATGGATTTGTATAGGATTACGAAAGACCTTATGATTTTATGATTGATATTGTGAACTGTTTCAAGCACTGCAAACACAGTTTGAGAAGTTAGTTGAAATGCTGAACTAATTAAGCTGTTTTGAAAATATCTCTAGGAATTTGTTGTGAAGTCGTTATCACAAAGCTAATTATTGATGCTATTTATCTAAATTAGGCCAATATGCATTCTGCAGCTTGAGTTATTGTATCTTCAACTTGTGTTCAGTTTCAACCACAATCTGCAGCTTTCTTTCATACTTTATGGTACATTGGTACTACAGTAGACAGTCATGCCACTTTGTTAACCCTGTTATTTTTTCCTTTTTTTTCTTGAAAATATTGTTAAAAGTGAATCCAATCAGTTGGAACAAGTGAGAAGGGAGTGAAAAGATGTGCCAAGATGTATAAATGCAAAGAGTATTCTTTTTATTTATAGAGAAGGACAGATTCTATTCATTTGTTTTTACATTTCTATCACTATTCCTAACTTATGCCTGGGCGTAACTTTTACTGCAATTGCAGACAGCAGACTTGTGTCTATCATTTATTGTGTTTCCGTTTGGTCTCGAAATTGCATTTTCTGACACCAATTTTTCTATTTTGCATGCAGTATAAGCCTGATGACCCTGTTACCCTTTGGGTAAATAAAGTTGGACCTTACTATAACCCACAAGAGACCTACAACTATTACAGCCTTCCATTTTGTCGTGCATCTGAAAATGCTCCTCACAGATGGGGTGGCCTTGGTGAAGTTTTAGGTGGAAATGAACTTATAGATAGCCAGATCAACATAAAGTTTCAAAGTATGCCATTTACTTATACATGTACTCTAGTTGCTATTGTATTTACTTCAATGATAACATGTATCTTTCTGTTTTTGTAGAAAATGTGGACAAGGGCCATATTTGTCAACTTGAACTAGATGAGACGAAGGTCAGGAAATTCAAGGATGCTATTGAAAACAGTTATTGGTTTGAATTCTTCATGGGTATGCACAAGCTCTATTTTATGGGGATTTAAACTGTTCTTCCAATTTAGTTGTATGTCACATGTGTAAACAAGATTTGCTTTGTGAATTACTCAAACCTCTTGAATTTTATAATACATAGAGGAAGTAAATATTTAAAATGTGCATTGTTATTGACATTGAATATTCTCATAACTAGAGTGTTATACATCTTTCGAACAAAAAAAGAAAAGAAAAAAAAAGAGTGATATACTTCTATTGCAAACAATA